ATATCTTATTGGTAAGAAAATTGACCATTTATCCCTGCTTTATATTTTCGCTCTCACGAAATGCCGGGCAAGTTATGAAGAGTGACGCTTGTCACGTTTTGTTTGGACCTCTACGCGTTAATGGATCCTTAGCGTTTGTTAAAAATTTGTGCCTATTATAAAGCCGTAGACGATTTGTGGAGTGGTTGTTGCAGTTCGGTCCAGTAGAGTTTACAGCGTTGCGTAAATTTTTGCGTATTACCAACGCCTAAATTCAGTACCTGGGATTTAATTCGTGTTTCACTTGCTGACACCCATAGGTGAGCGTCTTTCAACTGTGTTGATTGTGTAGGCGCAAGTGAAAATCTTCAGATCATAAGCCTAATTGCCTTTTCATCCAGTAGTGTCGCCTAGGGGGGACTCAGAGGAGTTTTACTAATTTATTCTCGAAGTTATATCTTTTGTCGGTCATCTCAGCTAATTGTTTGATCCAGGTGGTTTACTTGCGGACCGATTGGCTACACACGTCGTCCTTAGAATCACTTCTCAACAAAATTTTAATTAGCCTTCTTTGCCCTTAAGTCTGTTTTTCACGAAGTTTCCATAAGAATCCGTTTGCGGCTATACTATTGCACCTAAATCTGGATTCCGATATCGTACCTGCTCATCATACCCACTTTTTATATTCGGTAGTATCCGATGGTTCCCTGAATTGTCATCTATTTGGTGGTGGACGTCATTCCAAAATACGAATGCAGGGCCGTACGTTTCAATTTTTTACCCCATGGGTAACTGGATCTATCTCTATGCCATTCCAAACGCGGCCTTCATTATTCACACCGTGAGCGTTCTGACTTATTTTTTTACCTGATCTGTGTTTCTGCCTGTCACATTCAATATCCTTCCCCTTTAAAGATGTTTTAGGGAGCGCATTACATGTTTATCTGTCCACAAAGAACGTCGGCTGTGAACTCTTTTTAACATCTAGTTGACGGTAGGCACATCTGAACATAAATAGAGTGGCTAAGATCGACAGCACTATCTAGTTTCGCATGAAAGCATCATACATTTTTATGTTAGTCGGTGGCTACGGCTTTTCATTGTACCCGTTCCTTTTATGTCTTTTGATTTTACCAATGTATTCGTGACCAGTGATTCGTTCATACGAGCCATATTTTACGAACGATTTATATGATGGAAACAGACACTAGAATTAAGTGCTCTAAGAACTGGGAATTGTCATCTTACCTGTCATATTGGGCTGTGGTCGATTTCGCATAGTAAACACTAGGAAGATTGGGAATCTGAAATAAATCTAGCTTTACGAAGAGACTGGGTTGCTGGAGAAATTTAGACGCATGAATTGAATTGTAAATTGGGAGATTTACAAATTCAAATAATAAGTCGGATTATGTACCGAAACAAATTTTCTCTTTAAACTTACGGCCGTGAATATTTTCGCTATTCTCTGTTCTATCAATACGTAAGTACAGTTTAGGAACAGTGGTTAATGGAGTTCGCACGAATTTTCAGGACTCACTGTCCAGGATTTAAAGAACATAAAATTTAAAACCGATTTTCTAACATCGATAGTGCGGATTCACTCATCTAAAAGATCGTTCGCACAATTTTTGTCCCGATGAGACTACTTAAGAATCTCGCATCAGTAGACAGTTCATTTCCAGATAGAATGTGCCCTATTAACTACATACGCTGGCAAATGCTAGGCGAATGCGTTCACTACCTGACGCCGGTGTTGTCTCAACCGACCCGAAAAGACGAAAATATAAAATTAAAAAGTTTTCACAGCCGATGACAAATTTAGTTACTTGCTCCAACGCCCATGAAGGCTTGAACGCGAAATTTTCGTGGATGACCTCCCTAACTTATAAAGCACTGTCTGTGTACATTGGAGAATCATGTATTCTCCAACATCAGAACTTTCTTTTCCTCACAAGAACTCATAGGCCGCCTTCTGCTTCCTATTGACCCACTGATTAGAAGATCAAATAATCTACAGCAAATGTCTGTGTTGAAAATTGTACTTGCGCCCGTTTGGCATACACTAAAAGCTTCTACTTCACTGGTTTCGCCCGAAGAAGGTAAGAGTTGGGGGGGGAGAGGAGGAGGCTCATATTGGTCCAGTGACGATGTGTTACCGTTGACGAAGATAGGCTGGACGTTGATTGGCTCATCTTTGTCTTCTCGCCACCGTCTAAAGTCAGAGTTCAAAAGAAATCGAGACTGGACGATATTGGCTACAACTCAACACACATAAACTCATCGGCGGTCTTACACCAACTCTAGAGCGGGGTACATTCCTTCCAAACCCTCGGAAGTCTGTATCCAAGCGGAGGTTAAATGAAACGCGAGCGTTCGAAATTATCGTCCGCTGGGGGCTCGAAGGCCTAATGTTAAGTGGATACATTGCTTCAAATCACACAACAATTGTGCGTTTGCTTAACTCTTCTAAAGACTTGAGTGTTTTTTTCCAGGTCATCTACCATGTGCTTGTGCATGTCATCTTCAAGCCCTCCGCGAAGTATCAGGACAGCTACCGGTATCTGTGCACAAAAATGGCAATCGTGCAGAAACCCAAAAACAAACTACCTCCGAAGTAAGCACTTGAACTCGTAAATGCCTCATGATTAGTTCAAAACATTTTTAAAGGTTCTTTGTCCCCTTCTCTCTCTCTCTCTCTCTCTCTCTCTCTCTCTCTCTCTCTCTCTCCCTCTCTGAACTCAACCACAATAGCCACGTCTCTCCTGTTTACGTTATAGTAGGATACGTGGTTGTTGGTAGCTCGAAAATTTGCGAGTACTACTCTATACTACTACTACTACTACTACTACTACTACTACTACTACTACTACTACTACTACTACTACTACTACTGCTGCTGCTACTACTACTATTACTGCTGCTACTACTACTACTACTACTACTACTACTACTACTACTACTACTACTACTAACTACTACTACTACTACTACTACTACTACTACTACTACTTCTGAACGAGACTTATCTCCGCTTGGAGTCTGCCCGAAATAGCCAAAACAGCAGTATTACGACGGAAGTAGACATTCAGATGCGGAGATTTGCATCCAAGGGATTAACTCGGAGAGATGAAAACTAGAAAGAAGATGGAAAAGATGATGATGACGATGGTGGTGGTGGTGGTGGCGGCGGCGAGGAAGGGGATAGGGAGGAGAAAGGTGCATTTACCCAATGTCTGAAAACTTAGCTCTTTATCAGGGAAATAAGTATTTGTCTACCTAAACCGAACCCGTCTTATCTCTCTACCTATACAGTCTTTGATTCGAAAGTTAATTGACGTTTCAAGTCTGACCCTAAAAAGTAATATCCCGGACACTTGATTCCATGTCCTGCGCTTAATAACATCTGGAGTTCACAGAAACCAGAAACCGCATAGACGGCGCCGGGTGACCCACTATAGAGCCGAACCCATCATGTAGCAGCATGAATATAGGCAAAACACGTGTCTGGACCTCTAGCTAGTACCCTTTGCGGGAGTACGGTATAACCATCTGTTGGTTGGGCTCGAGAGAGAGAGCCCGTAAGGCACAACGGGACGAGTGAGTTCCGTACAAAAGATCGGTGAGCGTCCCTCAACCATTGTACATTCCCGACCGAAGCCGACAGGACAACGAACCCGTGGCTCAGTGGTTAGAGGCGTTGGACTTCTAACTAACAGGTCGCTGGATCGAGCCCCAGATGTTCAACACCTCTGGATTGGGTATGACTGGCTGACGACAGCTGATAAGTCAGAAATGGCCATTCTAGTCTCGCTTGTTTTAGTCGGTAATGCCATTCTGCCTATATATCATGCTTTGCTGTGCGTCTGCGGGTTGGGCTCGAGAGAGTGCCCTAAGGCCCAAGGGGACGAGTGAGTTTTGTAAAAACGATTGGTAAACGCCCCTCTACCATTATACAGATAAATATTCATCGAGGAACAGGCAAAAAACCCTCGTGGACGTCTCCCCTCTCTGTGCTCTACCAATGTTTTTCTTCTTTACTCGGTGCGTGACCGATCTCATGAAATGTTAGCCGAGATCCCAAAATGCGTTTCCGATTAGGAAAGATTACTTAGGTGGGGTTCTAATACATATTATTTTGCGGCAAAATCCTATAATATTTCGGACTCGGCAGGATGTCAGCTTTTGACTGCACCTCTTTTCCATTTCCTGGAGAAACGGTACTTAAGTGGCATGCATTTTCACATCGATTTTCGATTGTCTTATAAATTTAAATATACTTTATAAAAAACATGAAAAAAACTACACTTTTTTCACTCATTCGATAGAGAATTACGTTATCTTCATATTTTGTACTTAAAGAAGGATTATTATAAGGTTTCAAAAAGTTTTTAATTATGAGGTTTTTTAAGACCGTGCAATGTCCATTCTTACGGCATCGTACATCTCTGTTTACAAGTGCCCCTCATGAAATGCACAACATAGTCCGCATCCATTGCAAAATGTTATGAACTCTATATTGTATCATTTTAAAGTCATAGAAGAACATATGATTTTCCTTACGCGGAACGCTTGCACCTTGCAGATTGTGATCACTAAGCGATAATGCAGCGGCTGATCAAGCTCCAAATAATTCTGGAATTAGAAAACTTTCTTAAAACCTAATTATATTCCTTCTTTGAGTTTAAAATATGAAAACGACGTAATTCTCTATCGAACGAGTGGACAAAGCGTATTTTGGTTCATGTTTTTTTATAAAATATATTTGAATTTATAAAACAATAGAAAATCTATGTGAAAAATGCGTGCTGCTTAAGTAGACATTTTTTGCCGAGCAGCGTTTTTCCAGGAAACGGAAAAGAGATGCATTCAAAAGCTGACATCCTGCCGAGTCTGAAATATTAAAGGATTATGCCTCAATATAATATGTACTAGAACCCCACCTAGGTAATCCTAGGAAACGTAATAGGAAACATATTTTGGGATTTCGGCTAACTTTTCATGAGATCGGTCACTTACTGTACATATTTCGGCCTCAGTGAGCAGGCGTTTGACGTTGCCTAGGGCCTGGCGCGGCCGTCAGTGCAGTTTTGGCCACTGGGTGACCTTAACCGGGTCATTCACCGTGCACAATTCAACACTCGCATTCGGTCTTACACACCACCCACTTAGTGTGAAAGTGTTGATGCTTTTGTAGCCTTAACAGAGACTGCAATGTTTATGTGTGTCCTATCGCCGTGGCGTATGGCACCAGCGTCACCGGTTGCCGAATTGGTTGAACCGCCCATCGATCTCCGGGTTGTGCCTGTTTTTTTTAATTTGAATACTTACTAAAACCAGCCCGGACAGGTAATCGCTGTGGTCTGCGGTTTGAAACACGCATATATTGGAGCTTGTTAAGACGCGCGTCGTTTTTATTTCGCTTCAAATCACCACCCTGTGGCTTGGAGTTGTTCCTCCCGTGTGAGTTTCAGCGTCGTACGTTATCTCTCCTGGTGCGTAGTTGCTATCCGGAGTTACCTGTCTGACTTTCATCAGTGTTACAGACCTCAAATGGCTACAGACTAAGAGTCTATTTTTGCGGATGCCTTTAAATTGGTCCATCTCTCATGTTATCACTTTTCCCGGCTTCCACTCCGAGGGTAGATGGTACTTTGAGCGTTTTTTCCCGGTTTAGAAGCCAACGGTATTTCTTCTCGTGAGATTTCCTCTTCTCTCAGTAGTTCGTGCCCAATGTCCTGACGGCCTGATGTTCCAAGAGCCTCGAGAGGCAGCCAGCTCAGAGCCATTTGGCGGTCGCTCGGACCATCTGCTTGCGATGCGTCCCACAGGGGAACGGAAGGTGGTTACAAGAATTTCCCTCCTCAGGGTGACCTTGCAGGCCAAAGTTAGCCATTTAACTTCGTCCGAGTTAAGCCAAGGCCTGATTTTGGTAGTGTTAACTCACGTACGTACTCGCATCGTCTTCGCGATGTTTTTTTGGACTACTGCAGCGTCATTTACGTCAATCTTATCCCGTCTGCTAAGCACGCTCGCGCGCTCTCAAGAGAGCGCGGAGAATACCAACCGATCAGGAGCTGGTGACTGGTGGCCCCTTCTTTGTCAGGACCCCGCACCAGGGCTGGTCTGTAATGGTACTTTTTACTTGCCGGAGACAAGATCGCTGAGACAAGAGCTCTATTCGACTGACGTCTCGGATTCCTGCTCTAACCCATCATCAGAGACGAAAGCAGATACGGGTGGTTCATGCACAAGGGGCTGCAGTATTTGCAGAATGCAGTCTGGAGTCGTTTATCGGATCTGGTGCAGTTGTGGACAAGGCAACAACGTCGGAGAAACCGGAAGACAGCTCCGAACGCGGATGGCCGAACATGCTGCAGCAGTGCAGAGAAATGACGCCAGCCCTCAAGTTGTGGTTCATTCTACGAGATCCGTTCACACATTCAGATTCGACAAGGCCGAAATTCTCGCTAGGGGTGACAACCGCGTGGGCCGAGAGCTGCTTGAGTCATGGTTCACTGGCCCCCAGTCTATCAACAGGTGCAATGACCTCCCCCTTCCATACTCAGTGCTGCGACTTCCCCTAAGCGGAGTAATTAGCCAGGCGGGAAGCGCACAGGTGAACACTGTTCCGAACGTCGGGGTCAGTGCGTCAGACGGTCGAGTAATCATCTTACCAACATCTAAAACACGTGATGTAATTGCAGCAATTAACGACGCGAATGTCGGCCATCGAACAATTAGCACACCAAGTACAACGATCCCGGATGAAGGGGGGGGGGGCCGTGAATATTCATAGGTATGCGGTAGCATGGCGACTGCATCCTGCAAATACTGCAGCCCCTTGTGCATGAACTTCTCCGCATCTGCTTTTTTGTCTCTGATGATGGGTTCGAGCAGGAATCCGAAACGTCAGACGAATAAAGCTCCTGTCCCAGCGATCGTGTCTCCTTCTTCACGTTCGCTTCTACAGGCTGTGAGTGTTATGTGCCACACAACTCACCCCTTAACCTGCCATCTTCCCCCCCCCTTCCCTCAAGGTCGCACCTCATTGTCTGGATGCTCTTCAACATCGCCTCCGCTGCAGTCTTCATGCTGGTCGCCTGCTTCGCCTGGTGCAGCTTCTTTGTGCACACAGTAATGCTCCTGATTGTCTTCTTCGACATGACCTGGAACGCAGCCTGCTACTACATCGACTACTTTGCCACTCTGGCGCTGAGAAAGGCCATCGCTGAGGGCACCATACCGGATCCGAAGGCAAAGACCGGCGACGCCGATCATGCCGCGGCTGGCAAGACTGCTAACGACGCCGACGACGACGACGAGTCCGAAGACGAACTTGACGGCGACGAGGTCGAGATCGGGGATCAGGGCTCCGTGGAGTACGACATTGAGGAGAGCGGTGACGAGTATTGAAAGTGCAGGCAGGTGGGACATGAGCCCTATCCTCCACCACACCAATCGTTATGTGAATGCGAAACTCGATGATGTGGACACACACAGCCAGTTGCCTTTATTTTTTGTAACTTTTATTTCCTATTTTATCTCAAAGAGAGGAAACTCAGATTTACATGTCTCCTCTGTTCTGTCTCGCGCCGTTCTGGGTCAGCATCCAGCAGGGGCCTTTCAACTGTGTCGTGGCTGGTAGGAGGGTTCGTTCCCATTAACTGACAGTGGTCATTGCCAATAGAAGCGAAGAGACGAGTCCCAGGAAGTAGTCTTGAAGAAGGAGACACGATCACTGGGACAAGAGCTTTAGTAGCCTTACGTTTCTGATTCCTGCGCGAACCCATCATCAGAGACACAAGCAGATAAAGGTGATTCACGCCAGTCTATCAACATGTGCAATGACCTTCCCCTTCCATACTCAGTGCTGCGACTTCCCCTAGGCGGAGTAATTAGCCAGGCGGGAAGTGCACAGGTGAACACTGTTCCGAACGTCGGGGTCGGTGGGTCAGACGGTCGAGCAATCATCACACCAACATCAAACACCCGTGATGAAATTGCAGCAATTAACGACGCTAATGTCGGCCATCAAATAGTCAGCACACCAAGTGCGACGATCC